ATCTGTTTTATGGGACCCTTCTCTAAAAATCTGTTGACAAAATATGCCACATCCAAGGAAAATCTTTCCTGTCTAAATAAGAACACATCTGTGACAGAGAAGCCAATTCTTGCATCTGGGTTATGCTACATTGTCAACAAATGGATGTGAAAACAGCGACAGAATTAATGATGCTTCTCAGTCTTAATAAGCGTACAACTACTGAGTTACTAATCTGGTATCAACATTTTACAGATATTATCAATTTTCAGAAAGTATACACAAAAGAAAAATGGCACACATTTTCACAAAGATAACATGGTAATAATTTACCCTCAAACTTTAGACCTATCAGAACAATCCCGGAGCAAATTTGCCATACTGCTCTTAGGAGCCAATTTGATGGTACATTTTGGATCAAAATTCACCACAAAATTTAATGCTTTTCGTAAGCTAGAAAAAAAATGGAATTTATGTTGTCACATATCTCAGAAATATTAACAGATGCAAGTATTAAACTCTCTACACTTTATCGAATAAAGGAGGACACAGGTGTGTATTAATATGAAGTTCCAGGTTCGGGCACTACTCAGATAATTGAGGTAAAATAAGATTCAGTCTTATTATGCTGCAAAAATTTTCCACATTCATACGCATTTGCTCATAGACATTTGTCATTTATACCAAAGATATACTCAAAATTCAGCACTACATTCATTCTCTACTCTCAAATAACCCTGTGTCTAAATACATCTATAAGTACGTGTACATCCTTACCTGAAGCATATGAAGGTTCCCGTCCAAGTACCTTCGCATGTGTGGTTAGTACGTCATCACTCCTACGTTCCTTCTTAATTCGGGATAATAATTCTGGTAACATTTTATACGTTTAACCTATCTTGATGCTTGGAGCATGTATGACAAACTAAACTCCGTTATCTTAAATCCAGAAGGAATCTTCTCACTGAGGATAAGACAGTTAGAATGTAGTCAGTGAGGCTGCATTAATTTTTCACAGAACATTCTTGTCTTTTTTGAACAACCAACCAACCAACCATCAAAAATCATCGTACTCATAAGCAATATATGTCTGTGCTGTTTAACTTCTGACTTTTGTTATTTGGTGTTGTAGGCGATGTCGTCTGAAAAGTATCAGCTGTAGTGACTTACCTCCAGAATAATGGCTTCAAAATCAATATTCAGAATGGAGTTCTTACATGCTGTCGACATCTGTCGGACATAGCGGATACTTCGTTACTAAAACTCGACTCACAATATCGATTGAGGACAGGTATTGCGCAACTACCAATCGTCAACAGCACGAGCAAATTTCGAAACGTCGACATAACGGTTTGCAACATTTTTCGAAGTAAACTGTGAAAAAAAGAATACGATAAAAAAGTAAGTGTGTCACAAGAAGAACATTGAAGGCCAGTTGAGTGTAACATGTACAATAGGCGTTATAAAGTCAGTTTCATGTAGATCTGCTATTATTACTTTTGATACAG